GGACATTTGCTATTGGAAAGCCCAAAAATCTTGAATAACAATAGCCAGTTAGAAAAATGTATGCAAGAAATCCCCCAGGGTGTAGGCAGAACATAACCCTCCTGATTTAGCAATAAACCAAGTCCCTATGGTAAATGAGCTTATACCAAAAACCTCTCCCATTCGACTCAAGCAATATCCCATCAACCTGAAGGCCCACCAGTGCATTGTAAAACATATACTAAGGCTGAAAGAACATGGTATATTGAAATATTGTGTTTCTCCTTGGAATACCCCCCTGTTGCCAGTCCAGAAGCCAGGAACCCAGGACTAACCACCAGTACAGGATCTCAGAGAGGTAAACAAAAGGATTGTAACCTTCCACGTGATTGTGCCTAACCCCTATACTTTGTGGAGTTTACTGAACCCAGAATGAACTTGGTATTCTGTATTGGACTTGAAAAATACCTTCTTCACTGTGCCTATTGCCCCGGTGAGTCAAACCATTTTTGCTTTTGAGTGGACTGACCCCATCACAGGGGTCTCTGAACAATTGGATTGGACATGCCTGCCACAGGTTTCAAAAATGTGCCCACTATATTTGATGAAGCTCTAGCCAGAGACCTTCTGGGCTACAGAGTGGATTTTCCCAAATTGACTCTCTTGCATTATGTAGATGACCTCTTGGTGGCAACCAACACCAATGAAAATTGTAAAAGTGCCCCCAGGCTTATTAGAGGCTCTTGATAAACTGGGTTATAAGGTCTCAGCAAAGAAAGCTCAGTTATGTCAAAAAAGGTGACCTATTTGGGCTACCTGATTCATGAAGGGAAAGGTATTCTCTCCCCTCAGTGGATACAGGCTATTCGAAAAATTCCCACCCCTACAACTGAAAAGCAAGTGAGAGAATTTCGGGGGGTGGTGGGATACTGTCAACTCTGGATTATCAACTTTGCTGAGATAGCTCAGCCATTATATGATTCACTGAGAGGAGTCACACAAGACCCTCTAGAATGGACAGGCTCACAGGTCCATGATTTCAGTCAACTAAAAATGGTTCTAACTGAGGCACCATCCCTCATGTTCTAAACTTGCAAAAACCCTTTTTCCTTTATGTGGATGAAAAATGAAGAATTGTAAAAGGAGCTTTAACCCAGAGCCTTGGACCATGGCAAAGACGTATCAACTATGCCTCCATAAGACTAGATAATGTGGTGGCCGGGTGACCACCATGCCTGCAAGTGGTCGCCTCGGTAGCCCTACTGGTTAAGGAAGCTCAAAAACTAACTTTTGAGCAAAAACTCACAATTGTCTCCTCTTATTCACTGGAGACCCTCATTAAATCTGCCCCCACCCAGACTGGTGGCTGTCAAGCTCTTGAGATTTGCACTATCAGGCATTGCTCCTGGATCTGGCTACCATCAATTTCAGGGAAACAGCTGGCCTGAATTCAACAACCCTGCTGCCTGATGATGACCCCATTTTTCATCTTCATGATTGCACTGAGATTATAGAGTACCTCACCGACTTTACCTGACTTGACAGATGAAGCCCTACCTGGGGTCTCCTCCTATTTTTCTGATAGGAGCAGTTATATCCATCAAGGTAAGTGGGTTGCAGGAGCTGTTGATACCACAGACTCTCAAGTTCTATAGGAACACACTCTAGAACCTGGCACCTCAGCTCAGAAGGTTGAACTTGTGGCGCTGACTGAGGCCCTAAAATCGTCAGAAGAAAAGGACATAAATATCTAAACTGATAGCAGGTATTCATTCATCATTGCTCATGTCCATGGGGCCATTTATCAGGAACACGTCTTTCTAAATTCAGGGGGCCAAAAGATTAAAAATGCCCCCAGATACTGGACTTGTTGTATGCCATTTAGCTACCAAGGAAAGTGTCCATTATTCATTGAAAGGCCCACCAAAAGGGAGAAGACCTCATTACATGTGGGAACAACTTGGCAGATGTCAATGCATGGGAAGCAGCCATAAAATCAATGGGGATTGATACAGCCTGACATTGTTGTTGATTCCACCTACCCTGTCAGAACCTGTGCACACTTACATGTGGCAACACAACTTCAAGAAAAAGCCAATATCCCAGGAGGCTGGTATCAACTGCCTGATAAACAAGTTCTCCTTCCAAAGATTTTAGGATGGGAACTCCTTGAGCAGGCTCACCAATCAGCTCATCTGGGAGGATCCAAACTGGCTGCCCTATTTTGAGACAGGTTCTTTATTCCTCAATTGTCAAGGCTTGCACAGTCAATAAGTTCAAGGTGCCCACAATACCAGCTTGTAAATCCTAAGTGACCTCAACAAACAGAGACCACCTGTTATCGAGGAACTATGCCTGGAGAACATTGGGAAATAGACTTTACTAAAATGGGAAAACCTAGGCTCTATGCACACGAGCATTTGCTAGTAATGGCTGACACTTTCACTGGCTGGACTGAGGCTTTCCCCACTAAGTCAGAGTCAGCATTAATTGTAGTTAAAAACTTTTATATGAAGTTGTACCTCATTTGGCTTTCCCTTATCCATGGCATCTGACAAAGGCCCGGCTTTTATACTTCAAATAACTCAAAAATTAGCTCAGGTTTTACAGATTAGTTGGAAGCTTCATTGTGCCTACCGGCCTCAAAGTTCAGGGTAAAGTAGAAAAGATGAACCAGACCCTAAAGACTGTAATAACCAAAATGCCCTTAGAAACTGGTGAGAACTGGGTGAGTCTCCTTCCTTTTGCTTTCTGGTGTGCGCGTTGTACTCCCTATGTTGTAGTGATTTCCCCTTTTGAAGCTCTATATGGAAGACTCCTCCCCTCTTATTCCTAAAATCTCTGAGGAAAAACTAGCAGAAATGACTAACCAGGATCTTATTAAGCCCCTCCAGGCCCTCCAGCCAACTCTGGCATCCATCCATTGGTTGTTCCCACAGCAGCACCCTCCTCTGAGACGACTCCACCTAGGGATCAGCAACCAATTGCAGAACCAGGAGCACTGGTCCTCATCAAAAGGCACCATCTAGAATCACTCACACCTTGCTGGGAAGGCCCCTACACCATAGCCCTCAGCACCCCAACTGGTGTCAACATTGCTGGAAAGACTGCCTGGATTCATCATTCCCACATCAAGCTGGCACCTCCCTCAGAGGATCAACTTACAGATAAGTGGATTGCAACCCTCTTTTAGGACCCCTTAAAGTTTAAAATCACCAGATGTGCTTGATGTGGCTGTATATTCTAGTCTGTCTGATCCCTGCAGTTTCACTTCACAAACCTCAGCATATCTTCTATTTTGGGACCTGGAAAATAGTGGATTATAACACAGGTTAACTCCTGGAAGCCAATTCCACCATCCATGGAATAATTAAAGTAGATTTATGTTCCCTGTTGAATAACATCCCAACAAGGATTAGACATAAGAGGATGTTGTTAGGTCAGCACGCCATGCAATATGATCAACTGCTAATGGGAGGAAAACCAATCATTCCTTGTAGAGACTTAAATATCCAAAAAAATTAAGATCCATCAGTTGGTATCTCTGCCCTCAGTTCCAGTACTGTGGTGAAGTTGTTGACTCATCCAACACAACGTACTGTCCCTATGCTGACAGTACAGAATTCTTTTGTTATGCCTGGGAGATACTATAGAAAAGTTAGAAGATTCTTTGAGACACTAGTTGAAATGGTTTTGCACAACAGACAAGGACTATATCTCTTTTTCCTTAAGAAAGGGGGCCTGTGTCTAGCTCTAGGTGAAACTTGCTGCCTGTATGTAAATCATTCAGGTGTTATTAGGCAAAATTTACCAACACTAAAAAGGAGATTACAGGAAAGGGAGCAAGCTGTTTCTCACTAGTCAGAATTGGTTTAAACTATGGGTCTCATTCTTACTATGGTTGGCCACCCTCTTGACCGGGGCAGCAGGCCCTTTACTAATGCTCCTGTTACTAGTAACTATTGGACATTGTGTAATCAACAAATTAGTCTCATATGTGCAAAGAAGAATGCAATCTGTAAAATTAATGATTTAAAGAAACCAAGGATATAAATTGGTACCTAGGGAATAAAATCAAGGATTTGACTCCTTGCAATATAATCTGTGGGGAATGTTATAACTTGTAATTTTCCACAGATCACTCCATGCCATGTTTCAATTCTGTATGCATTTCCCATCCCCCTTTTTCTGTTCCTTCTTAGCTAAGCTCATATAGATAAGTTAACTGCCAGCCTTCTACCTCCCCCACCCCTTTTATCAGAGAAACATTCCAGACCTAGCCCTCAGCCCAGTGCAGTCCAACACCCCATTTTCTGAGATCACTGTGCTCCAGATGTCACTTGTAAAACTCCTAGGAATCCCACCCTATCTTGCAAACCTCCACCCTGTTTTGTGTTTTTTGCCAATAAAAGCTGTGCAGCCCACTCTCTTAGCATGCAGAGGTTGTCAGTCTCCATTGCTTCCTGCATTGCTGGATACCAGTTAAAATAAAGGACTTCTTCTTGAAAAATGTTTTGCCTTGTTCTGAGCCACATTTTGGGTCTCATTTTGGGGCACAACATATAGCTTCTTTTATAAAAATGGGCAATAGCACTCACAGTTAGAAACAAACACAGAAACAGACACACACACACACATACACACACACACACTCACACACAAAGTGTAGTTAAGCTAATGAAACACTAGCTCATTAAGTCCAATTTGAATAGGGTAAAATTTTTTCCAGATTTTCCTACTCAGAATATTGAACAAGTTTCTTCATTTGATACACTGTAGAAACTCCTCATTCCATTAAGAAATTGTCAGCCTTGTAGGAAAATTTTGAACCATTTTCCATGTCATTCTGTTTCTGCAGCAAAGCCTTTTAATTCAGGCAACCAGCATGGCTGATGGGAGGTGGGGGACTGCTGCTTTTGCTTCTAACTCAGCCATAGAGCTGTGTTAGAGTTTAATAGGCAAAAATTTGTCCAGGTTCTTGTGTACAAATGGAAGAGAACTGCCTGGCATACACCTCATGCTTAGTAGTAAGTTGCTCTTTATTGATATCACAGGATGACAGTATCAAAAATAGGATGAATTACAAGTGTAAAAAGGAAAACAAAGAGAAACAGCAATCTTTAATGATTCTGGGATACGGTACTTAAGGATTCAGATCCAGATGTCTTCCAGAGTTGTGAGACAAGGCTAATCCTTGTGCCTGTTGTGGCAATCAGATATATTTGGGCCACGTACATCCCACTGTGGTCAGATGCCTCTAAATCTGTTTTGTGTTTTACTAGTGTTGATGATTTGCTGACTCAGAGACCAATAGGTGCTAACGTAAGATATCAGTCATATTGTGTTTAGAGTTGAATGGAGGAAAGGTAATGGGTCACACAATTTCGCTATTTGTTGCTTCTCTACTACCACTTTCAGCACTTGTGCCTCCTGGGTAGATAATTAATTTACTGTTTTGTTGTATTCACATAACAGTTGAAAATGTCATAATATACCTTCACTTGTAAGTCGAGGATGTGTGACACACAACTTTGGATGGTAAAGGTAAGTTGGTGCCTCTGGCGAACTTTGGCAGGCCATTACATGCTTTCCAACTGCAGTTGGTGACTTCCTTGCTTCAAAGGCCTGTAAAGTTATGAGAAATTCTTCTTTATTTTCTGTCATATATTTTCTTATAAATAAGCAGTCAAACAGGTGATGTCTTCAAAATAATCTTTTGCTAGTAATGTTTGATAAGCATTAATCCCCATATAATTGGGACCACTGCACAGAGAGATGAAATAGGAGCACATCAGTCTTAAAGATATCACAACTATGATACACGCTGAAAAAATGAACAAACATTCTCTGTCTTACCTCCTAATGCTTAAAAGCTGGTTTCTGATTCTTACAAGAGAGTTAATATAGCCCCATATCTCAATGTTTGCCCCTCAGCCACTTAAGCTACAATTCTTGCTTGGTTCCCCTCTAGAATTGCAAGGAAAACCTTCTTTTGGTAAATCTGTACATTCAGTTTAATTTCTATCTCTATAAAGCACTTGGCACTAAGTCACTGTAACATACATTTGTACTCAAAGTAGCTGAGAAGACCTGTGCTAGCCCTGAAAAATTTTAGACCCTAATTCACCTTTTTCCATTCATCTCACAGTGAGGAAATTTAACTTTGTAAATTATTTTCTATGTTTTTTGTTGTTCATTTGAGGCAGTGATAGAAAGTCATAATTTTTAATCTCCACATTTAATTTACAAGATAGTAATTATTTATATTTTTGGAAAGAAATCAGTTCACATTTGGATTTTCTCCCTTGTGGAATGAGGAGTGAATCAGAAGCAATCAGGATGGCTCCTACACAGGCAGAAAGTCAGGTATGGACAGCTCAGGAAGCTGGGTTGTGAAAATTTTGACACAGAATTTAATAATAAAAATTCCTTTTATCTTTTTTTAAAATTTTGTTTATGTTTTATTTTCTTTAATGGGGAGGGGAGAATGGAAGAGAAATAAAGCTAGAGGAGGATAATGTCAAAAAGTTTTTCCCACAATATCTAAGAACCATAGTTCTTTTCAAGATATATACACACTGAGTGAATTATTTTATCCCATTATCAACACTGTCATCCTGCTTCAGGGGAAAAAGTGAGATTTCTATGTGTGAGGACACAAGGATAGGATGCATGTATGCCAAATATCCACAAAAGCCAAGTAGTAAGCTTAGCCAAAGAAGCACTTGCCTTGTAAGTACCAGGTTGTGAGTTCAACCCATGGTAAAGAGAGAGAAACAGAGACAGAGACTGAGAGACAGACAGACCCTGAGAGAGACAAAGAGAGAGAGACAGAGACACAACACCTTTAGTACTTTTGTTGTATAATTAATATATAGGTTGTTATCTCATATTTACATGATTAAAGATTTACATAACCAGTAAATAAGTGGTTACCTGCGTTAAAAAATGATGAAACAAATGTTTCCAAATCTGTACTTGTTCAAGACAAGTGGAATCATAACCTTAGACGTTGTTAGAAAGCTCAGAGCCATTAAAGTGGTTCCATACAACATGAGATTTTTGCAAAAGTCAAAACTTTGAGATGGAATCTCCTGTTTTATCTTCGAACTTATACTCCTTATTTTCAGGACAGCATAGAAACATGTATTCTGTCCTTGCAACCATTAAATGTTCACAGTGAGAGAGCTCTTTTTGAAATTTGTAATGTGAATTTGCAAACACCCATGTTTTAGTGCAGTTATAAGGAATAAAATTTGCTTCATCAACATGGATTACTCTGGAATACCCTAAATGATTCTACATTTAATTTCCTTTCTTCGCCATTTTCTTAAATCTGAGCATTTTCCTCTCCTTTTTCTCCAGGAACGTGATTGGATTGCCCCCTCAGAGGCACAGGGTGTTTTTTTTACTCTACCTCTGCAGGGATGTGCTGCAGTGCTTATGTTGCATGTCAGTGTCACTGGGCTAGGACAACATGAGCACAGACATGCATCATGTGATTGTCCTTTGGTTTCAACAGGCTGAGTTGTGGGTCATTTATTTCTCCCATCCCCTATGTTAATTAGTGACATTATACATCCATTGTGTCCACTACCTGAATGGGCCTAAAGTAATCAGCAAACCCTGAAATTTTTGCCAGTTTTGACTCTAACATACAGAAATAGAATGAGGAGTCAAACAACTGTTTAAAGTAAGATTAAGATTTATTTACAGAAAAATTAGAGGGAGTGATAATAAACCACTTTGAGAAGTGGGTGCACATAGGTGAGTGATGGCAAGGAAAGCCAGGAATTAGTCTTGCAATTATGGAGTGAAGTTTGTGGTCCCTCCCTCTGAGGGTAGCTCCACTCCACAAGTTTGTCTTCCTCATTGCTAGGAGTTTTGGTTTTAATTTGGAATTGACATTGAAAAAAATCACTGTGCACAATAATATAAAAGCCAGATTTCAGCATGCATGATACACTACTCCTAAATTCTTAAGATCCCATCTCCTTTTTCTGACCTTAAGAGGAGGTCCCATCTCTTCCTAGAGAGGCATAATCCAGGGTTTCCTCATAGAAGAGTGAAATCTCCAGATTACCCTATCAAGTCTTGGTTCACTGGAAGCAAATGTGCTTCCAGCACAGATCAATTTGTTTTGAAACATATAATCTTATTACTTTGGTTTGATTTTTGTTGTTTATCAGTCTTTCTTGCTGCTTCATTTTTCTTTTCTATGTCTTTTTTCTCTTCTGATTCCAGAAGACTGGTAGAAATTACTTCTCTAGATCTATGAGGGATGAAAATATTTTGATTGGAATTGAATTAAAACTCTATAACAATTTTCAGACAATGTCCATTTTCAGAATGTTTTTTTTCTTTGTATCCATGAATGGGAATGTCCTTCCATTTTCTGAAATCCTCTTTGATATCATTTTCAGAGTATTGCGATTTTCACTGAATAGTTCTTTTACTTTCTTCATTAGATTGAATCCTAAGTATTTCATTCTTTTGGATACTATAGTGAAACGTATGGTCTCCCTAATTTCGTTCTCAGTGAGTTTGGTGTTTTTGTACAGGAATGCTATTGACTTTTGAGTGTTGACCTTGTATGCAGTTGTATTACTGAATTCAGTTATTATATCTAGAAGTCTTTCATGGGCATTTTGCAGATCTTCTATGTTGAGTTACATACCATTTGCCAATAATGATAATTAACATCTTCCTTTCCAATCTTTATTCATTTTACTTCTCCTTCTTCTCTAATTGATCAAATGTTTCCAGAACTATAGTGAGTAAGAGTGGTGACAATGGACATCTTTGTCTTGTTCCTTAGTTTAGGATGAAAGTTTTCAGTTTTTGTCCATTTAGTAAGTTGTTGACTCTTGGTCTGTCATACTTGACTTTTATCATATTGAGGTAAATACAACTTTTACCAATATTCTGTAGGGTTTTTAAAAAATTTTGTATGAGTGTTGGAATTTTTAAAAGATTTGTCTGCATCTATTGAGCTGATCTTGTGGTTCTCATCTTTGGCTCTGTTGATATGGTGTATTATGTTCATTGATTGATATATGTTAAACCACACCTGCAATCTTGTAATGAGTCCCACTTGATGTTAGTTTATAATTTTATTGATCACTTGCTTAATTCTTATTGTCAAAATTTTATTGATGATTTCTGCATCAATTTTCATTAGGGATATTGGCCTGTAGTTCACTGTTTTGATTGGGTCTCTTTCTGATTTTGGTCATAGCGTAATACTCGCTTACAGAAATGAGTTCAGGATACATATATACCTTTCAATTTCATTGAAGATTTTGAGAATTATTGGCATTAAGCTTTCTCTAAATTTCTGTAGAATTCAGAAGGCAACCCATCAGGACATGGGCTTGTCTTTGTTAGCATTTTAATTACATTTTCAATTTCATTAACTGAAATTAGGTTATTCAACAGTTTTAACCATTATTCTTTAACATTTTTGATTCACATATTTCTGGGAATTGGTCCTTCAATAGAGTGTCTTTCAGTACTCTGTACTGTTGCTTTCATGGGCATGAATTTTTTCAAGTTTTCATTGTCAGGTAACTGTCTTATTTCTCTATTAATTTTCAAAGATAGTTTTACAGTTTTTTTCTGGACTTATAATGCTTCACTCCAAATCTTCTGGACTTGAAGGGAGTGCATAACCTTCTGGATCTAGAGGGTTACTCTACACATGTCCCCAGAGTGTGGTGCTTCTGGGGCCTTGCAGCTGATTGCAAGATGTCCAGTGCCTTGGAACACATGGCAACCTTGAGAACACCTCTGGTGCTTAGACTGGGAACTTGTGCCTCGCTGGGGGAAGTTATGAATATGCGATGGATGCCTGAACCATAGTTCATGGTGCCTTGTGCTCTGACGGGTGGAGCTCAAATGCTGCCGGATCCACTGGACACTCCCTAATGGGTGTCTCTGGGGCTCTGGGATGGATTCGTCTAGGTATATTTTTTCTTATGAGGCTGGATTGGCATTCAACTAATGGCCTATGCTGTGAAATTGCAAAAAAAGCTAGCAAGTATACACTCCCATTGTGTGACATGGGGAGAATTGTGCCTGGCTGGGGGAATTTCAGAGCTAGCACAACCCAAGAAGCATCTCTGGTCATACCTCTAGAATTTGATGCTGCAGAAGTCTTTCACCTGCCTGTAAGGAGTTCACAGTCTTTGAACTACCTACATGCAACTTTGATGTGTTGGAACTTGACTCTCTCTCTTTTTCTTTTTTTTCTTTTTCTTTTCTTTTCTTTTCTTTTCTTCTTTCTTTCTTTCTTTGATCCTTCCATTCTTCCTTGTATTCATTCTTAATCTCTTCCTTACTTCTTGCCTTGCTTTTGATTTTTTGAGATGCAATCTTTCTATGTAGCACAGAGAGGACTTGAATTTGCAGTGATCTTACTGCCTCAGCCTCCTGAATGATGGGATTATACAAGTGTGCTAGGGAGTCAAGATTCCTACTAGTTCCTAAAGTGGAACACAAAGAGTTAGCTCATCAATTGGAGAGCTTAGAGCTATGGGAATGCAGCACACAGTGATTTCTAACTCTAGCCTTTATGCTTAGAGGTAGTCTGTGAATATTCAGTGCTTGTAAGTGTTTTAAATCCA